GAAGGCATTGCAGCCATACTGAGAATGACAGTGAGACAAAACGGTATCCTCAAAGAGAAAGGAACCCTCCCAGATACCTAGAAGAGGACACCCTCCTCCCTAAGAATGCCGATTGTGCCCACATTAGTGTAGATTACTGCTACAAAGTTTGTGGATTACCACAAAATTACACAGAAGCCATGGGATCACCTCAAGCTAGGGAGTGGGAGCAAGCAATGCAGGAAGAGATCAGCTCTCTGAAGGAAAATGATACTTACGAATTATCAACTTTACCAGAAGGTAAAGCTTCAGTAGGGGGAAAATGGGTGTACACAACCAAACAAGATCAGAATGGCATAGAGACCTTTAAGGCCAGATATGTAGCGAAGGGTTACAGCCAGGTAAAGGGTATAGATTATCAAGAAACTTTCGCCCCGACAGCCAGTATTACTTCAATTAGGGTCTTAATGCAGTTAGCAGTAAAACATGATCGTATTGTCCACCAGATGGACGTTAAAACTGCATATCTGCATGCCCCCATTACTCAAGAGTTATACATAGACCAGCCACAAGGGTTTGAAGAGGTTTCAGAGAGTGGTGAGAGGTTAGTATATAGGCTAAAGAAATCGCTATATGGTCTAAAACAATCAGGTAGAAAGTGGAACATATTGTTACACGAGCATTTAGCAAATGACGGTTTTGTCAGAAACCATGCTGATCACTGTGTATATAAGAAACAAGTTGATGATAAAATTGTTATCGTCATTGTTTGGGTTGATGACCTAATCATAGCTTCAGATAGTATGCGGTTAATGGAAGAATTTAAAGAAAGTATGAAGACACAATTTAAGATGAAAGATCTAGGTAGAATCACTTTCTTCCTTGGAATGGATTTTAAGCAAAGCAAGGGTGAAATAAAAATTAATCAGAAAAGATTCATTCTTAAAATACTAGAGAGATTTGGAATGATAGACTGCAAGCCCAGGTTAACCCCATGTGAGCAACGATTAGAATTTAACTGTGGTGAATTGACCAACGCCAGACAGTATAGAGAAATGATAGGAAGCCTAATTTATGCCATGACCTGTACAAGGCCTGATTTAAGTTGGATTGTAAGCAGAACGGGAGATTTAATTGCTGCCAAACATGTCCTAAGGTATCTAAAGGGTACCGTGGATTATGAACTCTGCTTTAAGAAATCTGATGCTGACTTGCAGCTCACTGCTTATAGTGATTCAGATTGGGCCTCTTGCCTGGAAGACAGGCGAAGTACTACAGGTTACTGATGTACTCTAACTGAAGGAGGACCACTGATTTCATGGAAGTCGAGAAAGCAACCAACGGTTGCCATTTCCACTTGCGAAGCTGAATATGTAGCTTTAGCAAATACAGCTCAAGAGTGTTTGTATCTAACTCAATTGTTAAACGGTATGTATAAGAAAGTACATCAGAGTATGAAGGTAAGTGTTGATAACCAAGGGGCAATTGCACTAAGTAAGAACCCAGTTAACAGACAACGTTCTAAGCATATTGACATAAAGTACCACTTTGTACGTGAAATGTATGTTAAAGGCATGATCGATATTGTATATTGTCCTACCCAAGATATGGTAGCTGATATCCTAACAAAGCCACCCACAAAATGTAAACTAGATAATTTTAAAAGTATCGTGTTCGGTTGTGGTAATTAGTTTATATTCTGATAACAAGTGAGGGTGTTGAGTTCAATATAAAACTGTATGTTATCCAAATATTAAGTATGACGTAATACTGAGAGACAAATGCATGATGGGATTGTTGTGTTGTTAGTTGAACTTCCTCGTGAAAGTAACTTGCTGTACAAAACTACATTTGTAATAAACGTGAAAATAAAGAGTGATTTCATTACAAATACGGTGTTCTAAAGTCATGGCTTCAACAGGGGGTTTACACGTCACATCTCGCAAAAAATGCCAAAATTAAACCTAAATTTCTCCCTTTTCCTTCGGTAAATTGTTTTAAAACTTTGCACATTTCTTAATATCGGCTAAACAAGCTCAATATCCTTTTTTCTTGAAATTTTATTGAAGGGAATAATCTAAGAGACGTTCCATAGAATTTTTTTAAATTGAAGAAAAAAATTATTATACGAGAAAGATCTTTTACGCAAATTTTTAAAACGGCCGGAAAAAGACAAATTTTGAGCTTAATTATCCAAACACGCTGTCACCATGGGACTTTCAGCGCAAAAGTAGTAAATTGCAATGTTCAGGAGAGCATTGTCAATGTGTCCAATAAATTTCGTCTTCGTGTCATGTAAAGTGAAGAAACAGGAGTTTTCTGGATACAAAAGTGTAGTATAATGCAAAAACCCTATGGAGCCACCTTAAAATAGATTTTTATTATTATTTTATGACTTTTAAACACAGAAATCACTCGTGGTCACTCGTGGTCATTCGTAGTCATTCGTGGTCACTCGTGGTCATTCGTGGTCACTCGTGGTCACCCGTGTGTACTTTTAGACAAGACCCTATAAATAGCGAGAAATTAAAAATAGCGTGAGAACTTGTCGACTTCTTCTGCTGTACAATAAATAAATAAACTGTGGTGGTGATTTTATTATGGGTGGGGATAAAACGCTGAAACTGAATCGTGGAAACTGAAATGGGGATAAAACGCTGAAAATAAAACGCTGAAATGGGGAAATTTAATCGAATTCGTTGTTTGCTAGACCATTGCGAACACATGTAATTTCCCTATAAAACTGAATAAATATAAGAAAGAAGTTCCCGGTAAAATGACAACCACAAAGTTTTCGAAGAACGAATTTTATCTGACAGTTTATCTTTTATTAATTAATAATAATGTAATCTACAATTCTCTCCATATAACTTCGAACTCAACTTTTTGTGATAGCATACTGAATTATACTGTCTTGACACTGCCATATGGCTGGTATTTTGGGTGTAAAACCGGCGTCGTCGTACATTTGGGGGTCTCGTCACGAAATCACGAAGATCATTTTTCGATTTCACGAGTCACGAAACAAAATTTAATATTCACGATTTTCAGAAACACAGAAGCGTAACAAAGTCTGAAACCATTTAACGATTTTCTAGACAGCAGAACTCGATGTTAACACAAACACATTTTACTGACTTTAACATTAGAGCTTTTAAATTAAAGGACTATGGAAATCATTGCGAGACATTACGAAACATCACGAGCGTCTTACGATGGTTCACGAAGTTTACGAAGAGGTACGAAGGTATACGATAACGAACGATAACGACGTTTACGGATGAAACGAAGAAACCTCAAGAAAGACAACCGCGAGAAGCAAATTTATTCATT